GTGGAAAGCCACAGGTACCATGCTTGACTTCCTTTGGAACAATAGCTAGGGGAGCTGCCTTGCCTCTGCAAATGCCATCGCAGGCACCATTTTGATTTCGATGCTCCAGCGGTAAGCTGTGAATCGGCACCCAGCGACTCCTCGCGCACAAAACATCGGCCCGAAGCAATCGTGCATCAGTCCTGCTCCACATGGTTTGCCGAGACGTCGGACTCATGTTCGTACTGAAAGTAATTAGATCGTCCACCTCCAACAATCTTTGCCGCAGCATTCACGGTTCCAGCAAGAAACTTAGAGTAGAATGGTACCTGAATTCTGCTTCTCCAAACCCAAATTTTAGGGACAGTACAGCACTTTAGGGCACTGGAGCTTCAATAGTGCTGTACTGTCCCTAAATTTGGCCTCTGCCAAACCCAACTTTTAGGGACAGTACAGCACTTTAGGGCACCTGGGTTTCAAAAGTGCTGTACTGTCCCTAAAATTTGGCTTTCCCAAGCCAAAAGTGCTGCACTGTCCCTAAAAAACCTAAAAAACCTATCCTCCAGAGACTATCGGCTGGGAACGCTTGAAGGTTGCTGGGGGATAGGTTTTTTAGGTTTTTTAGGGACAGTACAGCACTTTTGGCTTGGGAAAGCCAAATATTAGGGACAGTACAGCACTTTCGGGCACTGGAGCTTCAAAAGTGTTGTACTGTCCCTAAATTTGGCCTCTGCCAAACCCAACTTTTAGGGACAGTACAGCACTTTAGGGCACCTGGGTTTCAAAAGTGCTGTACTGTCCCTAAAATTTGGCTTTCCCAAGCCAAAAGTGCTGCACTGTCCTTAAAAAACCTAAAAAACCTATCCTCCAGAGACTATCGGCTGGGAACGCCTGCAGGTTGCTGGGGGATAGGTTTTTTAGGTTTTTTAAGGACAGTACAGCACTTTTCGCTTGGGAAAGCCAAATTTCAGGGACAGTACAGCACTTTGGGGCACTGGAGCTTCAAAAGTGCTGTACTGTCCCTAAATTTGGCCTCTGCCAAACCCAACTTGTAGGGACAGTACAGCACTTTAGGGCACCTGAGCTTCAAAAGTGCTGTGCTGTCCCTAAAATTTGGCTTTCCCAAGCCCAAATGAAAAGGACTGCACAGCACTTTTCAACACTAATGCTTGTAAAATCAGATTGATAGTGACAGCATACTATTGTGCGTAGTGGTATATCAACAAACTTTTCCAAAAATACAAGTTATGTCATGCCTTTGGTTCCTTGGCGGTATTTTGGTGTTGGCAGTCTGCCTCCCACTAAGCCATTGATTTCGGAACCAGATCCTGGTGTGCAAAATGTTCGATGTCAAGAGTTTGTAGACATGCTATGAGCAAAGTAGCTGTTCTACAGAGAAGCCGTTCCCGCTGGTATTTACAGCACGTTCTGCACATGGAGAAGGTAGGTTCGAAACGCTTGGTTATGAGTGAGAGAGAGGAACAGAGAGGGTGTGGATCTTGGGGGGGGGGTGACCATATATATATATGTACTGCTATTTATTGGTAGTATCATTATTGTATGTCATCTGAAAGACTAGATTCGTCGTTCCAGGTCCAGGCAGCTGTTGCATGCAGCGAGAAGAAGGACAAGGTGGGTCTGGGGGCTGGATGCTGCGATATCCTGTCTGTGACATGGCAAACTTGTGTTCTTTCTCACTGATTCTGCTGTGCCCTTTCGTAACCCACCGCGATTCGTCGTTCAGCAGTTGCTGCACTCGTGTTGGACACACGAAGGTGCTTGCCCCCACGACGTCGCCCAGTCCGGATGCTCACCTCGTGTATCGACTGGAAGAGATTCTGGGCAGAATCTCGGACGAGGTCGGATGCCCAGGCTTCTCCTGCTCGGCATGCTTCCACCCTCAACAGGCTGCGAATTCATCCTTGTTGAGGTCCAGGAAGCAGTTGCCGCCAGCGAGAAGAAGTGCCAGGCAGGAGATGTCGTGTTGTGGGGATTGGATGCTGGTTTTTCCCGCCTGGGATGAGTGGTTATGCAAGCTCTGTTCTGTGCACAGCCTCTCTACAGTAAGTAGCTGAGTGGATACACTTTACACTTTACACTTTTGGGGATCATGTTACACACTATACAACTGAAAGTGTACACTTTTGGGGGGCTTATGAACTCAGCAACTAAGCTCTGCGACGGAGCTGTTTTGAGGCTTGGAAGCGGTATTTCCAATGTCACGGGGCGGCTCATACGGGAGTTTGAGCAAGTAGCAATGGTAGTTTCAGGCACCCCGACTATTAGGGCCCCTGTCTCCTGTCTTGGTCCCTAAACCCTAAGCACTAACTATCAAGGCTCCGATACCCTGAACCCAAAACCCTAGGCGCAAAACCCAAAACCCTAAAACCCCAAAATCTTAAGCCTTTAAAACCCTCAACCCTATAACCCCTAAACCATCCTAAACCCCATATAAACCAAAGCCCTAGCCCCTAAACCCCAAAACCCTATAACCCTAAACCCGAATAAACCCTATAAGCCCTCAAAACCCTGAACTCAGCTTCGTACTCCGCACATAGCGAATCCCCTAAACCCAGACCCCCGGGAGGATCTAGAAAGTAGATCTCCTAATTTGGGGCCGTATACTACTAGGGCTACTTTATAGGAACCCCCATTAAGGGATCCTCCCTAAACCCTAAACCCCTAAGCCCCTAAACCCTAAACCCCTAAACCCTGAACCCCTAAACCCCTAAACCCCTAAACCCTAAACCCCATTAAGGGATCTACTTTTTGGATCCTCCCGGGAATTCCCCTGTGGCCAGGGCTGGAGCAGGGAAGTCCTCTACGAGCTCGAGGCCTCCACTGGAAAACCGAATTCCGGTAGGTCTCGGGCCAGGGGAGTTTTCGGGGTTTAGGGTCTAGGGGGTTTTGGAAGTTTAGGGTTTAGGGGTTTAGGGTTGAGAAATCTATGGGTCAGGGGAGTTTAGGGTTTTGGAGTTTAAGGAGTTTACGGGGTATGGGGAGTTTAGGGTTTAGGGGCTTAGGGTTTAGAAATCTAGGGGTTTTGGGAGTTTAATTAGGGGTTTTGGGAGTTTAGGGGTTTTGGGAGTTTAGGGGTTTGGTGTTTTAGGGTTTTGGGGTTTGGGGTTTAGGGTCTAGGGGTTTAGGTTTTAGGGGTTCGTTGTTTAAGTTCCATGACCAGTCGTTAGACTTTACTGGGCGAGTTTGTGCTTGTTTGTTACAGTATATGGTATGTGGCTATCTACCAGGAATATCCTTGTACCCTCGAATAGGGGTATATGGTCCCAAATAAGGGGCATTTAGGGTCTAATAGAGGGTAGATGGAGGGTCTAGGTATGTTCTGTGATGTGCTGATGAAGAGAGTAGAGAAGCGAGAAGTAACTCCTTGAGATCTTCTTCCATGGTCCCGTGTTGCACCTCTCCATCAAACAGCGTTCAGGCTGGGTGAACCTTGAGCAGTCACTTACCCTTATTGGTTGTGGGTTCGCAACCCTGAACCTGAAACGCAGCTAAATCATTGACATCGTTGCCGTATAGAAATAGAAACACTAGTCCCAATATTCAGATTTCCCGAGCCATCGTTGCTCGCAGGCGATGCGCAGTGCACATGAGGATTTGGCGAACCGGCTGGACAGCGTGTCTCAGGAGACTGAGATCTGTCCCCTTTCAGAGATTATCATGCGAAGGTTCATGTTTCAACAATTAACCTTCTTAAGGGGTTACTAGGGTTGCTACAACTGCTGCTACAAGTTTTTTGTATAGTACATTACCAATTAGATTGGGTTTTGCTTTTTCTGGCACGACGCTTGATTGTTTAGAGCCCTATAATATGAGGTCTACACGCAGGGGCAACTTTTGTAGACTGAGAATCTCGTTGAGTGCAGCGGATGGAGGTCGACGGTTCCGAGTCAAGACGCCTGGACTATACAATCAGAAATAACATCCAACCCCATTTCTTCGGGTTCCTGATGATTTTGACTACAAACAGAACATACTCCAGACTTCTATTCGTTAAGGCATGTTGAGGCCCATATGGTATGTTTGTGGACGGGACGTGATTTGCAGAGCCTGCGTCAGCCGTCATTGGGTCAAATGCTCCCTGTCTTTGCTATTCCTATCGCCACATGATTTCTGCTGCTTGTTCTACGAGCATGCACTACTGCCGCCACTGCGACGTCGATTGCTGATGAAAATGCTAGCATCTGCCGTATCACCCTGGTATGCTTGCGTGAAGCAGCTGGGAGAATCCTGTCAGGGTCCGTCACCTGCAGTAGAATGCGCGTTTTGTCTTTATGTGGCCCGGACTCGGTTTGGTGGAACCTTGCATGGTGCTGCAAAAGGCATGATTCTGTTAATGGACAAATCCTGCATTACCCATTAATAAGGAATATACCATAGTTCCCATAGTTTAGAGTCCTTAGAGTCATGCAGGATTTGTACATCAACAGTTCGTGCAGTGTCTTCAGTGAGCACTATGTGCCTTCTTGTCAGCTTTGTACTCGTGTCGTGAGCTTTGCCGGCATGACCGTTTCCCATCTGCTTCGTGGTACGTCGTCGTCGCTGCTGTTGGGGGCTCCTGTGGTTGTTTTGTCGTCGCCATCGTTGTTGTCATTGCTCCTCTAGTTCTTGTTGGCTAGGTCCAGGTTTGCGCAAGTTCGGCAGGATGTCATCGTGTCCGAAGCCGCCGCACCACTGGAGGACCTCACAGGGAGCCTCTCTTTGTCCCGCAACTTTCGTTTTCAGGCTGAGTTCTGCATCATGGCTAGGCTTTATGGTAAATATCATGTTTGGGGTCCAGGGTTGGGCAGCTTGTTTGTCCTGCACGGGACGACTGGAACAGTTGGAGCCTCGCCATGCCTAACAGGCAAGAGTGGAGACGCAGTGGTATTGACATGCACAATGTGGCCATTCATCGCTGTCGTGGCCAAACCTGGTAGTGAGTCGCGTTCGTTGCGATCCCAACCCAGCGTGATCTCTCGCGCCTTAAAAAAGCAGGCAGCTAGTGCTCCCTCCAAGCACCCATGCTCTCGTTTACTTCTCCCCCCGATGCAAGCGGAAAACTGCGAAAGGCAGATGGGGAGGATGAGACTCCGGACGAGACTTTACAGAGGCCTCTTTTAGCGGTCATGTAGTTGATTTTGGGCGTAAGCAGTGCTTCATCAATGACCGCTGTACGCCAACTTGGGATGTTGCAAAGGACCCTGTTGTGGGCTGGATTTGGAGTTCTCTACATCCTGAAATCGTAGTAGCGCGGCATATGTGGGCCTATATGGGAGCAATGAATCCACGTCGCCTGTTCTCGTTTGTCATCGCACTCCGGCAAGAATACCAATGCATCGATTCCGTAAACCTTAAATCCTAAACCCTATACCCTATATATACCCTAAACACATAGCTTACACCCTAAACCATAAACCCGTTTCCCTAAACCCTGCACCCTAAACTCATATAGGGCTGAAAGATGGCACCATTCGGCAGGCCGAGCTGCCGTACTCCTGACGGCGAGGAAGACCCAAAGGCCTGACATGGGTTCAGGGTTTACTATAGAAGCTACAGGTAACAAAGTTAGAATGGTGTTTTGGGGGGTAAGCTGTACCACCAAAGCCTTATGCCCTAAACCAAACTTGCAAGATGGAGCCCTAAGAAACCCTATTCCCCAGAGCCTCCAATATCCCTTAATTAAGGAATACTCCTTATATCATATTAGGGAACCTACTATAACTTAAGGCATAAGGTATATTCCTTAATTAAGGGATATTGGAGTCTCTGGGTACTATGATGAAGGCTTCGGAAAGAGGGGACCCTTCCTGGCCTCTGAGCCATATTTTGGAGAATGCAACCAAGGAGCTGGGATTTCTGGCGTTTTTGAGGCTTTAGGGTTTACCTTAAGCCGGAATAACCTATATACCTTTTTAAGGACTTGTATAAGGCAATCATAATAAGGAGCCCTAAAAAGGTAGGTTATTCAGGGTTAAGGTAGGGTATAGGCAATCTTCCCTGTCGACGACTGTGGCGGTTAGAGGGTTATTGGAAAGCCACGAACTGACAGACATGGCTCATCTGCCTGTGCGCTCGTCACAGCATGTCATGCATTGATCTCCCCACGGTGAATCCCTAAGACTCCAAATAGCCGAAAGTAGGTAGTATTTCTAGACTTTAGACCCCAAAGTAGGTAGTATTTGTATACTTGGAGTCTTAGGGAATCTGAAACCAGACGGCGTCTTCAAGGCTTCGTGGCAGCCATAGCAAGCACGCTGAGCACCTAGCAGTACCAAACCCAGGTTCTGCCGGGTTTATGACCTTGAACCCTAAATCCTCAAGCCAGGGTTTATTGAAGGAAAGTTTAGGACTAAAGTTTAGGATGCAAGCATGCTCCTTCTCCAGCCTAGGAAACAGAAGCTGATGACCAGCCGCTGCCGCTGAGCTGCAGAATATATGCTGACACTGCCGTCGGAGCCCTATTCAAATTACCCCAACAGCTAGACGTGAAAACGCTGACCCTCCGAAGCTACGACAATTCCTGTTGGTACGTGCTTGCCATGACACCCAGGGAGCAGCACCTGAACTCGCTGCACAAGACGTTGGGCCAGGCAAGCCGATGAGACAGACAGGGACCGTAAACCCTAAACCCTGAACCCTATACTAATAGCAATAGCAGCAGTAGTAGTAGACGGAAAATGAGAGTTTCGAAGGTAATTGCTTTCCCCTTTTTTCCGGCTCTGTCGGACGGCATACTTTGCGCTTGGCCGTAAAAATAATGACCAACCATGAACCCTGCAGGGATCATCTCTTCCTCACTGTCTTGTCCAGCTTGTGCTTCCTGCCTCCGATAGCTTTCTTTGGTTCCGTAAGTCCTACACCCCTAAACTCTAAACCTCAAACCTCGAATATCTAAACCGTCCTAAACCCCTAGAACCCTAAACCCTTCAAAACCCCCTTAAACCCTAAACCCCTCTAACTCTTAAGCCCTAATCCGCGAGTTCGCTCAGGCTCGGGACGACCTTCAGGTCGCTCGAGATCACCTCGAGGTCGCTCGTGACGAGTGCCGGAGAGCCTGGGCTCCTTTAAATGGTTCATGTACGGGTTCCTTTTCGGGGTTCACTTGTAGGGTTCATTTAGGGGTTCCTATTTGGGGTTCATGTAGGGGTTCCTTTCAAGGGTTCATGTAGGGGTTCGTTTTTAAGGTTCAATACAGGGTTCCTTTCAAGTGTTTCTTTTCAGGGTTCCTTTCATGGATTTCTTTTCAGGGTTCCTTTCAAGGGGGCGTACTCTTTTTCAGGTTCCTTTCGAGGGTTCGTTTAACTGTAACTACATTGAGATCCCCTACCAAGAACCCAGGAACAGAGGATCGGGTCAGTGAAGAGGCCAAGCATCTCCGCGAGCAGGACGTGGTTGAGGCCCGGCAAGGTCCGGTGTACCTAGCCAGGGCCCTAATATAGGGGCCTAGGTAGTACAATTTTTTTTGGTGGGGTTCTTATTAAAACTAATCGTATGATAGGTGTACCTAACCAGGGCCCTAATATTGTGGGCCCGGTAGTGGTACTACTGCTGACGGACAAACTCCTGCATTACCCACTGTAAGGAATATACCATAGTTCCCATCGTTTATGTAGAGTCCTTAGGGTCATGCAGGATTTTGTCCATCAACAGCATTTTGGTGGTTTCTTATTAAAACTAATCGTATGATATACCCAAAAACCCTTGTCTAATCACTGAGGCCCCTTATGACAGGGCAGGGCCCTGTTTGACATCTCTTACCCACAAGCTCCACACATATTACCATTACGGATTGAGGTCCCTAAGACCAACATAAGCATGGTCTTTTGAACCTAATTACATAGTGGTAGTATACATGGAGCCTCTAGGTTACAAAACCTCTTGATGAAGAACCTCTCTATTAGCCTCTCGGTTACATGGGTTACTCAGGCCACAGTGGCAAGAGCCAACTGCTTCTTTTCATTCAATACCAAACCCCACGAGCACTGTAATGTTCTTTGCTAGTGCTGCCGTGGTAAGCGTCGTGCTGGGAATTAGGGTAATGTAATTTAATGGAATGGTATGGTATGTTATATATATATACATTGTGTGGGTTCCGATGGTGTACTATGGTATGCCATGCTAGGCTGTGCTGTGGCACGTATACACACGCACGCACACACACACACACACCATGATAACCGATTACAGCTACATTATATCAGTACATACTCGTATGTTCACATTTATGATCATACAACTCGTCCATATAAGCGTTGTGCACCGTGGAGTCTGTGGCCCCAGGAACCAGTTGTTCAGGGTTGCAGGGTGGGTGCGCGCTGAGCGACCCCAGCCATTCGTTCACCCTGGCTCTCAGCACAGGCAATAAAACGACAATGGGTCTTGGCAGCAGCAACAACAAGAGCCGCAACAAGCACCACCACCACCACCACCACCACCACCACCACCACCACCACAACCACCACCACCACCACCACCACCACCACCACCACCACCACCACCACCACCACCACCACCACCACCACCACCACCACCACCACCACCACCACCACCACCACCACCACCACCACCACCACCACCACCACCACACCACCACCACCACCACCACCACCACCACCACCACCACCACCACCACCACCACCACCACCACCACCACCACCACCACCACGGCAACAGCAGCAAAAGGCAACCGCAAGAGCAGCAACAGCAGCAGTACGAGTAGCAACACTAGCACCAGCAACAGTAGCGGCAGCACCGGCAACATCAGCCGCAGCCTCCACCACCAGCACCACTACCACCAGCAGCGGAGCAGCAACAGCAGCAACAGCCATGGCAAGATCAACATCAACGTCATCAGCGGCGGCAGAAGCAGCGGCACGATTACTAATACTAGCAGCATCAGTACCAACAGCAGCTTCAACAGCAACAGCAGCAGCCGGACCATCATCAACATCAACGTCATCATCAGCAGCAGCAGAAGAGCACAAACATACCAGCGCCGGCACCAGCAACAACAACAGCAGCAGCAAAAGCAACACCAGTCTCTTGGTAGGTTTGTACCGGAAGAACCGTTGAGTCATTTGAGTCTGATTGGCTTCGTCCAAACCGAACACCAAGTCCTATATGCAAACGACAGCCAAAAAAGAACCAACGACCACTAGGAAACAAGAAAGGCAACAGCCACTTCAAAAAGCAGCCAACAAAGGCTAGAACGGGCATATATTATGGTTCATTTTGGCGAATGTCAGTTATGGCGGTGACATACATATGTGCTTCAAACGCAAGCGAGTGGAGTGCGATGTGACACCCATGAAATATCGTCAATGACAATGCGGTTCGACGTAAAACCCTGAGCAGATAGGCAGGTACCCATAGGCTCCATTGTAGACCTTGTTTGTGGCTTCAATTTGGGATCCTATAGTGTAATGGACCTTACCGAGTATTGGGAAGGTCCAATCCAAGTTGAAGACCCTGCTGTCGAACCTCTTCGACCTGGAGAGGGATCTCGAACTCCAGGACTTGCCGTGAGTGCACCGGTGCCTTTAGTGCTTTTGGGGTTGGGGTTTTGCGATTCTGCTGGGGGTTTAGTTTTTTGTTTCAGGTTTAGGGCTCTGGGGTTGTGGATTTTAGGTGTTTTCGGGTTTAGGTTTAGGGCTTGTGTTTTTTCGGGTTCTGGGTTTACGTGTTTTGGGGTTGAGGGTGCTAGGGGTTTTGGTTAAGGGCTCTTGCCTACTCTGACGATCCTGCGAAGCGAGGAAGAGAAGCGTGAACGTGAAGACTGCGTCAAGGGGGAGATTCAGGACAGCTTGGCCGACTGCTGTGAGCAAAGCTTTCGTTAAAAACTCTATACTTAGGGTTACTTAGAAATTATTTTTAATCCCTAAGAAACAGCTATAATTTTAATTTTTGCTTGGGCTCTAAGTTCAGTATAGTATATTAGTTGTAGTCGTAGTTTCAACCTCGACCACCTTGACTCAGTCAATAGCTCACTCCTTTCCGTCGACGAATTCCCGGAGCGCAGCGCTTCTTGCAGCATCTTGTCTCGGCACGTGATCGGTTCAGTTCGGCTTAGCAGCTCGTGGTTCGAGGATGACTTTGACAACATCGCCAACGTTCACAAGCCCAATGACACTGACAACTACCAGCCGGAGCATGAGACATTCGGACTGATTTGTGTTGAGTCGCTCGCGGCACTGCCAAGCTTCAAGACTGGAAAGAATCCTCAGGACAATGGCTTTGATGAATGGAGCCTATAGCCCGATGTCCTTGTAACCTATGCAAGCAGGCTTGACTTCATGTCCTTCTCCCGAGCGTCGTACAGAAGAATAAGACAGCCAAGGATGGACCAGGACCACCCCTTTGTGAGTGTGAGGCCGATTCCATGCAATGCCACAGTGCGCATCATGTGTGTGTGTGTGTGTGTCAGTATCTGTATTTTTGTCTGTTTGCTTGTCTGTCTGTCTGTCTGCCTGTCTGTCTGCTTGTTTGTTTCTTTGTTTCAGGGTTTGTTTGTTTGCTCTTTGATTCGCGTGCCAGCTCATTTGATTGTTCGTTTTTTGTCAGTTTGTATGTTTGTGTATGCGTGCATGCGGGGCTTGTACCGGCACTTGCATGACTCTGTGTGTGTGGTTGCACACACATTGCTGTTGGTGTCTTTGTTTTCTCTCTCGTCCGGTCTATTGTGTCTTTGGACTTATGCGGCAGTTTCCGAAAATTAGGGGTACCTTGTTCTGGGGTCCTTATAAGAAGGATCCTACTATGGAGGGTGCTATATTGGGGTCCCCTATTTTCGGAAACCCCCATGTAAATACACCCACATGCTACCCAGATGCACACCCTGAACCCAAATCCGCAAACACCTAATCTTAGCAGATGTGAAAGCTAGCGGTTCTACCGCATGCCCGAGAACATGTTTTCAAAAACAGTGTTGCCGCAGGTTTAGGGTTTTCCTGGACCCTAACAAACCTCCATATCCTCCATTGGCAGCGTTCTTTCACGATTTTCTTACGTAAGTCCATAAAGAAAGTCTTCAGGTCCGGATTGAGTCCATGGGCCTTTCAAGTTGGACGTTTTGTTCAGCAGAAGCTGCATTCAGCAGAAGCTGCAGGGAAAGCTCGGCAATCATAAACTTCCGACAACTTCCGAATGCTTTGGACCTTGGGTTGGCGGTTCAGGGCTTAGCGTTCAGGGTTCAGGGATGTTCAGAGTTTTAGAGTTCAGGGTTTTCGAGTTCAAAACTTTCGAGTTCAGGGTTTCGGGTTCAGAGGTTGAGAGTTTCGAGTCTAGGGCTCCGGTTGAGACTTTGGGGTTTAGGGCCCTTCCGGCCTTCTGCCTTCTGCGTCCTTGCAGGCTTCCCAGGTCAGGTCCCGCCGCTCGGCTGCAGCGATCCTACTGTAAATTACGTTAATTCAAACGGGAACCTCTTTGGGGCTAGGGTACTCAACCTCTAAGTTATAGTCTTGCTTGGTATATAGCATCCCGTAGAGTCCCTATATGTCTGCATTGTAGTACACCTCAAACTTTGTCTCTGGAGCCTCCGACAGAGATATCTGAGGTAACAAGAACGATCGAGCGGGCGATGCGACTGATTGGGTGTGGTCGAGCTGCGGCGCGAGAGACCAAGCCTTTGTTGGGCCGCACAGCTTAAAGAGATATAGAGAGAATGGTGTAGTAGTAACAATGATAGTCAAATAGTAGTAATAATGATATCAGCAATAGTCCAGAAATGAGAGATGATTTGACCAAATAAAACATAGAGTGGAAGATATATGGAAGAAGCCTTCACAGAGAGCACATGAAGCGCATGTTTTTGAAAAGAACTTATAGTGGTAGTCGTGGTGGTGGTGGTGGTGGTGGTGGTGGTGGTGGTGGTGGTGGTGGTGGTGGTGGCGGTGGTGGTGGTACACGTAGCAGCAGTAGTAAGTAGCAGCAGTCGTAGTAGTACGAACAGTTGTTCGATGTTGTTCGAGTAGCAGTAGAAGCGCCAGCAGGGTCAGTAGGAGGAGGAGAAGGAGGAGTATGCATGATATATGTGTGTGCCTGTAAAGCTTTCTGACGAGAGAGTTGTACATCCCATTTTCCTATCTATGAAAAACGAGGTGTCGAGTGCGAATGGGCCTATTCCCATTGGACAGCTCGCTTGTCGTAGATATGAGCACAATAGGGTTTAGGGTTTAGGGGTTTAGGGTTTATAGGAACTGCAAGCATGTTCGCTTTAAACTTCTTGGAGGCATCAGAGGATCGCAGGAGAGAGATGCTGGCAAGCCGCCCAAACCGCCTGACATAACTGTCATAATCAGCGAAGAACAACCCTTAATGGGGTTTACAGGTCTAGGTTTCAGTGTTTAGGGTTTAGGGTTGGGCATGGTGGGTTTTTGGGGTGCGTGACCCTGCCTCTTGACGGGCCCAGGAAGTGCGGACGCCGACGAGTCTGTGGGCTTTTGATTCGCACCTGAGAAGGAGCAGATACTGCAGGGGCCTTAATAATTAGAATAAGGTTTGGGGGTATATTATCCTATAACAATAATAAGGACCACCCCAACCCTATTCTAACGATTAATGCCCCTAAAGGCACTGAGGCCCTGAGAAGCTGGGATTACGAGAGTGTTGGGCTGGGAGTTCCGTTGAATCTGAAGCTCTCTGTGCAATCTCGTGATATTATAAAACCGTGATCTTGTCCATAGGTGCCGGTGGGACTCCATAAAAGACCCTAAACCCTAAGAAAAACAACTAACCCAAAACCTATAACCCTGAACCTAACCTAAAACCCAAAACCCTAATCCCAAACCCTTAAAGCCGAAACCCGAATCCCAAAACCTTGTAGACCCTAAACCCTAAAAACCTTGCGCAAGGTGCGTGCAACTTCGCCGAGCCGATGGTCTGACATTGAGCCAGTTTTGATACCAAAGAGTCTTGCAAAAAGACTCCCATCAGTTTGTGGGCGCGGCTTCTGTTCATCGCCGGCCGAGGTCTCGATCAGTCTGGTGAGATGGGTTAGCCTGATGCCTAAACCTTAAATAGTACCCTTAGAGATCCCTTACAGGAACCCCTGCTAGCATGTGTCCTTTGCAGGCGTTCATTCCCGGGCCAGTCGAGTAAATATGGCCGGTAGTACTGCGAAGGAAATGTACCCACTGCTTTGGGGTTTAGGGTTTGGCATCTAGGGTTTAGGAATGTGGATTTGGGCAACGACGTGTCAGGCAACAGAATCCGCGATGCTGTCCTTCCGTCCAAAGGATGCAGGGCAACAGCCACCGAATTTGTACAGAGTAGTTTGCCGAACTCTTGGAGCGCGCACCTCTCTGTGAAGATGCTTTAAGCTAGAAGCCCATAGACCCGAAAACCCTGCACCCTAAATCCCCAAGCGGACCCTACCTTGTGAAGATTTCTGAAGAGCTTTCTGAGGGGAAATCGCGTGCCGCAGTATTCCTGGGTTCGATGAACTTTAGGAAGCATCCGGAGCCACACTCGCCTGTGTCTGAGGACCCATCTCCACCTCTACAGCAGAACTTCATATGTACAAAGGAAGTCTAACAGTCAAACCCTGTGGTTCCAAGCAGATGGCCTGAATTCAGCGCAAGGGGTGCGTATGCAACCACCATGCTGGCTTTTCACTGAAGCAGTTTTCTCGGTCCTTCCCCTACAACCTAAACCCTGTAAAAAGCTCCAGGAGCCGGTCTGACCTAAGTGTACTGCAGTGAAATGCCTGGAAAACCAACACACAGACGCATGTTCTTTTTTCCCGTGAGATCGCAGCGGGCCGCCGAAAATGGCACCATGGAAGAACATATTGCTTTGCACATGCTTCGGCTGGCGTTCGCTGTGCTCTCGCGGCCCTCAGCTGTCGCTGGCCGGCGAAGGCACTCACAGTCGCGCAACCTCGAGGCTTATCTCAGTCGCGGCTTCCATGAGATCTGCCGGGACATCTAAGATGTCGTTTTGCGCAGCGAAGCGGGCAAGTCGAGGGGCACCGTCTACAGAGACCGGCTGTCCCAGCTTTACATGAGTTCATTTGGTTTAGGGTGGGCTTTGCAACCTGGGTTGCTGGAAAGTGTCATCAGTTGTGCACATTGCATCCTGTCATCCCCTGATGCGACATTCCCTGATCACTGAACTCTGTCAGCCCATGTACCGACCTAAACCTTAAATCTCAAGCCGTAAACCTGAGACCCCAAACCCTTGAAACCTTCAACCCTAAATCCTCAAACTTCAACCCTACACCTTAAACCGTAAAGCCCAAACCCTAAACATCTCGTCGAAAGTTTCAGCCAGAGGAACTCAATGGTTCCACAAGTAGCCTCGGATCGAGGTATAGGCTTTCGGGTGGTTTGCTGTTTTAGGGTTCGGGGTGAAGGGTTCATGGTTGAGAGGAATTCACCGTATTATAGGACTTAGTGAACCCACTTGTATGTTACATAAAACTACATGATTCAAATCCAGTGGTATCTCACACGCAACTGCGGGAAGTCCACCTTTCCCAAGTGCCAGGGGCTGGATCTGCAAGATCCATCCCCCCCCTCATTTTCACAGATCCTCCAGTCGTCCGATGCTCTCGTCCCTTGCGCACCAGCACGTTTTACATACAGAAGTCAGGGTTTAGGTTTTAGGGTTTAGAGTATAGTCCATACTGTTCAGAACAGGGCTGTTACAGATGGGCCAGCAGACGGACACTTTGTGGACTCATAGATTCTACCCGGAACCGCCAATAGCCTAATTGCCTTCGGAAGGACTTAATTACACAGCTCCTGAGCCCCAAAGGTCATTTAAATACAGTTCTTTTCGGAGTCAGGCATTAAAAGCGAAGGCACTACTATATGTATATATATATATATATATACATATGTATATATATATATATATATACATATATATATATATACATATATACATATATATATATATATACACCGTTCACTCCAACCCCTAAGCTCGAAACCCTAGCGGCGCTAGCGTGCTGCCAGCGTCGGACAACTGGTGGACCTGGCTCACTCTCCCTCTCCATCTCCTCTCGAAGACTTGCGGGTTGTCTCTAGAAGCCCAGTAATCTGGTGAGTGACCTCATGTATCAGGATTCTTTTAGGTCAGGGAGTTGATCGTGGGTTCCTGGGATATAAATAGAACCGTACTAATTATAACTATTATATGGCATGAGTTGTGTATGATTTACGGGGATTCTGAGGTTTTTGTGGAACGGTAACCCACTTTCCAGGCAACTGGGATTCTGGGGCGCGTTATGAAGACAGCGTCTCTCGCAGAGAAAAGCGTTCTAAACTCGGGCGGTTCTTGGTGGCCTTGATTTAACTAGTTTCTCCAAAGATAGCTACTTTAAAAGGAAGAACTTAAACAGGAAGAGGCCTATTCGGAAGAGCCCACTTGTGAAAGAATGTGTGGGTGCCCGAACTGCCCTCGGAGCAGAAGTGCCCACCTGTTCAATGTACCGGTTCGAGCTGGCTCCAGTTGGCAAAGCTGAAGTTGGCATCTGACAACAAGAAATCCAAAGCAACTATCTCGGAGGCTTAACAGGTCGTAATCCGAAGTAGAAAGCAAAAGTGTTTTGGAGAGTTGCCTGCTTGATTGAAAGTGCAGAGCCCGTAACCATTGAGGTGATGCAGTCACTTACAGCTTGCATTCTTCGGCAACCGCTCCGCATGACGCAAGTCATAGGATGCTCCATGCCCTAATGACCTTGGTGCAATGACGCACTCAGAGAAGAGGCAACGGGTGCTGTAGCCTGCTTCTGGGTCTAGGATTAGGGTTTAAAAAAGGGTTTCGGGCCAGGTTTAAGGTACAGTACGGGTTGAGCTCCTGATCATGATCGTGTAGCCCAGTCCAGTTTCAGACTTTCATACTGTCAACTGTTGTTCTTTACATCCTCGTGCCCTCCAACATGCAGCACACAAGCCCACGCATCCCACGCTGAAGCGCTGAACCTTGCAAGTCTTCGCGCCACGGTGTCATGTTTCTTATCTACAACGTGCCCCAAGCCACACCCGAATCGTGGCTTGCATGTCTGTTGTACTCATACCTGTCTCTCTATCCCCCTGTCTGCACCGTTTCGGTGCTTCCCTGAGTCACGGACTTGCCAGGGCCGCTTGGTACAAGGAGGGCGCGTTAGGCCTGGGATGGTACGATGGGATGGTACGGGAGATTTCGGAGATATGCGGATGTGTAGCTTTGGGGCATCTTGGGGTTTATTGGGCATCTTGCGGTTTATAGGGCAGTGGCAGGCGTGTTGTCTGGTCATTTGGTCCGAAGCAGGTAGGCCACTTCGCACTGAGCTAGCGTGAGCATAGATCTAAAGTCATACTGAAGAGTACATGTTCATGACGGATGCGTAACATGAGACAACCCTTCTCCGGCCTTTCCAATGTGACGGTTTGGGGTGCGGGGTTGATGTAGTTCACGTTGTAACGACACCTAGAATGCCAGGAAGGCATAGATGCGCTAGGCATGGAGGCAAGCATGAACATTTGTCATTCTGTCGGTGGATGTATGCATTTGTACAACACCTGCATGCTTGCATGCATGCACACATAATACATACATACATACATACATATATATATATATATGTATATCTTTGTATACATATATGTAATGTATGTATGTACGTATTTATGTATGTATGTACATATGTATGTATGCATGTATGTATACAAGCGCACGAGTATGTGTGTGTGTGTGTGTCTCTGCTTTCGTGTGGTTTGTTGGTTTGCTGTTTTGCTGGGTTGTTTATTTGTTTGTTTGTTGTTGGTCGGTTGGTTTGTTGGGGTGTGTTTGTTTGTTTGCATGTTTGTTTGTGTGTTGGTTAGTTGGTATGCTTGCTTGATTGGCTGTTTGTTTGTTCCTGTTTGTTCATTTTGCCTGCGTGTAGTAAGACACCCCGAGATGCTGAACCGCGTTCTATGCTATTATAGTGGCCCAATAAATATCTATACCATGTCGGGGGCTCCTTCTTACAGATATAGCACAAGATACCCCCCACACCTTATTCTAATTATGAAGATTACATACTCCTAATTAACACAATATACCCCCAAACCTTGTTCTAATCATGAAGATTACGTACTCCTAATTAAGACAATATACCCCCAAACCTTATTCTAATTGTGAAGATTACGTACTCCTGCCAGCTCTTGGCACTGGCATCCTCTATGGTGCAACGAATGCAGTGGTGGGCCACCCCATGGACACCGTCAAGGCTGAATTCCGGGGAGTGACTTCTGAAGGCTTCGGGGTTGTTGCTCTCAGAGGTGTTTGGGATTTCGGATTCAGAGCTGGCGGGGGGACGTTCTAGGGGAATTGGTCTGCCAGGGATTGGTGTTCAGGGTAGTTTGGGTTGACTTCCGCGATGTGGGTAGAAGTTCCATATCGTGGCACGGCAATCCGAGATCAGTCTTTATCCGTCATGAAGTCAACTGACGATCACCAGATCGGGAGGTTGTGATTGAGGCCCAGTGTTGCAGGATCCACAGGCTTCGCCGTGATTTGGCCTAATATGTAAGTCAATGTAAGTGAGACTTCATGGCTGTATGCCACGAGCGAGCAAGACCGCTTTCAGTTTCTGCAACTGCCGCAACCGTCCTGTAAGGTTCTGACTAGTCTTGCCGCCCAAAAGCCGCATCAATACCCAGGTCTCAGATCAATCCAACATATCTTTGTACGCCATTTGCCCCCAGGGACAATCCTCAGCCCTCAAACGCACAAACCCTGAACCTCCAGACCCCCCCTAGAGCCCCCAAACCCCTAAACCCTACACCCTAAATAGAACCCTTAAAGGAACCCTATAGCACCCTTATAGTACCCTTTAAAGGAACCAAAAAAACGAAAGCCGCAGCCAGAGAACTTGCTTCAGGCCAAAATGCAGGCCCAGGCCGACTCTCCCGGATTGCTCAGGGCATCGGAGGATCAGACTTGATATACTATAGGGGCCTTAATAATTACCTATACTATTTTTTGAGGGCTGCTTATTATAATTGTAGTAGAATATACCCCCCAAAGCCTATTCTAATTATTAAGGCCACTATATTAGGGTTTAGGGTTTCAGGGTTTAAGTTTCTAGGGTTCAGGATTTAGGGGCCCTTTAAACAGATTAGTCATAGTATCTTCTTGTATCCCCTGCATCGATTTTGTAGAATAGGATTTCAAGTACTAACGCCCTTACAGCAAGGATTTTCGGGGGTGTTTGGGACGAACCTATGAGGTTGGGGCGTTCTTGCCTTTTGGGTTTTGTGCACTTTGGCTTTTGGGGGCCTCGCTGTTCGGCGGATTAGAGCGAGTAGAGTCTGGGCTCAAGGTTTCAAGTTTTACAGTTCTTGGGCCTAGGGCATTGGAGTTTCAGGGTTTGCCCGGTAAAAGGGTTTTGGGATTGGCCTGAGAAGCTTGGAGATTCCGGCGTAGAGGCTCTTTGTTTGGCTCTGACAACCCTCGCGGCTAATGCAGAGACTTGAAAGTTTGCGGTACCATAAGCCCTGAACCCTGAGGACATTGTCTCTCCATACTCCTCACTCTGTGGAGGGTAGTGCTCCCCATTACTCAGGACCGGAGTTACATCGAAACCCTTCACGTTCATCCCCGCCTGAAAGACCAAGCGTTAGCCAACATCCAATCCTACAGCCATTGGCATACTAGCAGCAGCAACAACAGCAATGGCGAATGGTGTTGTCGTTTTCTCGTCGTCATCGTTGTCCTCATGATCGCCCCGGTCAGCATCATGAACTGCGATTGTCAGGCCGGCTTCATCAAGGGCCAGGCACCTGCAGCCAGTAAAGCCTGCTAGATGTTCTTCATATCTGTTTCTTTTACGTGTTGATAGATATGGCAATTTCCGGAAATAGGGGACCCTAATATAGTAATATAGTACCCTAAATAGCAGGATCCTTATCATAAGGACCTTCCTTCACCATGGTGACATATGGAGCCATTGATCCCTGAAGTGTGGAATTAAGGTTCTGGAATGGTTCGGTTTCTCTGTGAAAAAGTGACCTACACCGTGACCCTGCTGGTAGCTGTTTTCCAAGCGTCGGTTCTAAGAGATCCGCGCAATGTGAAAGTGGCCAAATCTAGCTCGGCCTTGATCCAGAACAACATTCCTAGAGCCTCCAAAACCCCTGAATTAGGGAATATACCTTAAGATATATGATGATTTACGGAGTATTCCTTAAATTAAGGGGTTGCAGGCAATGAACTTAGCAGGCTTCGCTTCCCCAGACCCCCGGGAGGATCCCAAAAGTAGATCCCTTAATGGGGGTTCCTTTAAAGTACCCTTAGTGGTATAGGGCCCCAAATTAGGGGATCTACTTTCTAGATCCTCTCGGGGCTCCTGGGTCGGTCACAAGGTCGAAGCCCCACTGTCTGGTTGAACCTCAAACTCTGCGACTTTCGAAGGTAAACCACACAAGCTCGTCCAAGCCACGGAGCTCTGAGACCCTAAAGAGCCCAGGATCTTTCAGACCCCTCATACATATACGAAAATACTAGATGGCAGTTAAAGCCCTATTCTAATCACCAAGGCCTCTAAAGTGTATATTTCAACTTGCACCACCTCCCCAAAACTCGTAAGAGCCTCGCCTCGCGCCAAAGATGCCATGGCGACCCAGGGAGGCAACTCCGATCGGCCGAGTGTGGTGAGCTTTGGCTTATTTTTTCGGGGTTTAGGAGTTTAGGGTTTAGGAGTTTCGGAGTTTAGGGTTTAGGAGTTTCGGAGTTTAGGGTTTAGGGTTTAGGGTAGGGTACCTGAGGATTGTATATGGGTGCAGAAAGGCTTCGAGAAGGGTTTCTCTTCTCAAGAGAGATGTTAGGCTTCTGTGAAATAGAAGCATAAATAGTTGCCCAAACTAAGTCCAGAAGGTTCCTTGCAATAAGTTCGCAAGTAGGGTCTAGGGTTTGCAGTAAGTTTGCTACGATGATCTAGCTCATACCCCTATTCTAATCATTAAGCCCCTGCAGTAACAGGGCTTAGGGTTTGGGGTCCAGGAATTAGGTCCAGTGTTGCGGGCTTTTTGGCTACCCCAACAAGGGTCTTACTTAAATGCGATAGGGTTTTGTATTCTGAGCTTTGTATTCTGATACTAGGAACGAGTCCTACTGAAGTGGCAGGGCGTTTCTTCCGAGTCTTTGTTCTAGGCTCTAGACTGTCTTTGTTGGTCGTGGGCACTGAGCTAGAGTTGCACGGATTTAGTTATGTTGTTGTTGGGGTTTGCGCGGTTTGCCCGACGATGCAGGTTGCGCATTTCGTCCTCGATGCTTTTGGGATTACGGTTTTCTTGCTGCTTCCCCTAAACCCCGAAACCCCTAAATCCTAAACCCCGAAACCAAACAACCCCTAAACCCTTGAACCCTGAAACCCCTAAACCCTACCGGCCGGTAAAGGGGAATCTTCAAGTCCTGAACTTCTCTACTCCTCAGCACGAGGAAGCTGAATGTCGGTGGCCGACACTATGTGGCGGCGGCATCGACCCTTACATCCCAGGCATCCGGATGCTTGGGACCACGGTTCTACTTAGTTCTGGAATACTATACACAACAGTGTTCCCTTATCGCATCTTTGTAGTTATGTTTTCACTTATATACTTTCGAAACCCCGTTCTAACTGGTAAGGCCCCTACATTGATTGGTCATCATGCCAACACGAACGAGGAGAAGACAAACCTAAGCATAGTCACCGCAACAAGAAGCATGCGTCAATACAGTTGTACTGCTGCGTACTACAGGGGCCTCAATAGTTACCAGAATTGTCCTAGAGTTCCGTATATTAGTTATAGTAGAACATGCCCCGAAACCCTAGTAAAATTATTACTAATGCCCCTGTACTATATACCCTTTAGAGACCATTTTAGAACCCCTCTAGTACTCTAACGAGCATGGGTGTTGACGACTGAATTCTCAGACGTGGGAGGGCTTTTCGTGATCGAGAAGTCCTAGCGAAAACGTAGAGCTGTAGGAAAGCATCGCTCTACAATGGAAATAAGTCGGCCTCTAGGGTAAGCGTCCTTTAAGGGATCCTCTTTATCTTCGAAATATTAATGCCCCGGATTTCTGCTCGCCAGCTGAGTCTGGCACCCTGGTAGCTCACAAAGCCCTCGACCACAGAACCCGAGAAGTACATGACCGAAGCCTTAGTAGTCTTAGCTTTTTGTAATTATAAGCTCCCTTAATAGTCTTAGCTTCTTTGTAATTATAAGCTCCCTTAGTAGTCTTAGCTTCTTTGTAATTATAAGCTCCCTTAATAGTCTTAGTTTTTTCGTGGTTAAGCTCCCTTATTGTAACTATTATACTGTCATACACCCCCGCACCCCTACTCCAATGATTACGGCCTTTATACTGACGTAGAGGCTTCGACTCGAAACCACATACCTGACGACTTTCGAGCCCTCTTCAGGGTGGAATGCTGGCGGCCATGCTTCAAGGCGGCTTGGGTTTTAGGGTCCAGTGTTTGGGGCTTATGGGTCTTTGCCTTTGTCCGAACGTTTCCTGACTGAAAGAAGCTAACCCTAAACACGACCTCTAACCCTAAACCCTAAACCCGATCCCTAAACCCTAAAGCCTAAACCCCAAACCCTAAACCCTAGTTCGAGGGGTCTACATAGAGGGGTCAGAGCCGGGCAGGAGTCTCAACAGCTGGCGCAAGCAAAAATGCGGGTACAGCTGAAGTAGTCTTTTGCCGAACAACCTAATATCATTCCTCACACATATATATATATGTCACATTATAATATGTCTCTATATATACATGCGATGAGATAGTCAGATAGATAGGTAGGAGAGAGAGAGAGAGAGAGAGAGAGAGAGAGAGAGAGAGACTTTCATGGTGTAGGGGGTAAAACCCCTACACCATAGCCCTGGCGAAAGAAAGATGTTCATGTTCTTTTAGCTGTTTCTATGTGCAGCCAAAGCGCCCTCGACCGTGCAAAGGCCCCTTCAGCTCCTCCGAGCTCGTGGATGATGCGTTTTACATCGACCGAGACGGAGAGATTTTTCGCTCCTCGCTTAGGGTTTAGGGTTTAGTGGCTTTAGGGTTTAGGGTTTAGGGTTTAGTGGCTTTAGGGTTTAGGGTTTTGTGGCTTTAGGGTTTAAGGTTTAGTGGCTTTAGGGTTCAGGGTTAAGGGTTCATAAGGTTTAGGGGATGATGTTCGCAAGTTCACAGGTTTCTCTTGATCACGGATGCCTAAGCCGATACATGGAAGCTGCGAAGTCGAGGTATGCAGGTGAACTGACATGGCAAAGTATCCGAGGGAAGCTCCGAATGCAGGCAAGACAGATGACAAGCTGGTTAGGCTCTGGCTTCCGAGATAGATCGATAGCTTTGCCGGCAGTCTTATTGAAAAAAGCATACCTTGACTTTCAAAGTCTCGCAAGTCATCTTAACATAGCATTCGGGCTCGCCTAGCCGCATGGCCAGTCTGTAGCTCCTGCACCCACCTAAACAAGGGTTTGGGGTACCTTACCATATATCATACTCTATCATCGTATGATTTTCATCTTGGGCTTTAGGGACTCTTGGTTTGGGGTTTAGGGACAAATAGAGCTACTCACCCCCAATTCTTTCTCTTCACCCACAGACTCTGACCCTGAAGACCCTGATAAACCTGCGGGCACTCCTTCAAGCTGAGGGTTTAAAAGGGTCCTTGGGCCCAACCTTCAAGCAAAGGCTACATCATGGAGTATCTCCGCTGCGGCACCGTCGAAATCCCATGGACCATGCCGAAGGGGATTCTGCCCCTTCGGTGAGATAATTATTTTTGTTTGCAGGGTTTAGGGTTTGAAGGTAGGTGTTATACAGTGTGAGTCTGATGTGCAAGATCTTTGGAAATTTATGTGGGGGAGTATTGATTGGTGATGCAGCGAGACTGGGCTGCAGGGATATGCAGTCTCAAAGGCTATGTCGGTTCGGACGCTCTGGGAAATGAGACCTAAACTGACCGTGGGGGGGCTATGTTAAATCTGGGTGCCTCCAAGAGCCCTGATAGCATGAATCCTAGGGCTTATGGTTCACATGAAGGTTTTGAATACTACAAGTAGTACTGTAACTGCTTCAAAAACAGGACATATGACTCAGATCGTTGCGCATCTAGGGATTCAGGTTCAGCGAACTCAAAGGCCCTAAGTGTTGCTGTAGGGCTTGTGAGTTCGCTGAGCCTCGATCAGGGCCCATCCTAACCATCATTCCAATCTCGTTGCTCCTCATGACCAGCATAATCATGGCCACCGCCATGATGATGTTGACGGTCATAATGGCAGGCAGCGTCTACTAACCTAGTTTATCGCGGGCATCCTGATCGTCACGGTCCTTGTCTACTAGATCTCCCTTTCTAGGGTTCAGGGTGTCGTGGTTTGGGTCTGGGGTTTGTCCCAAGACCTCGACCGAGTTGAGATCAGGAAGCAGCTCGAGCGCGAGGCGGACTTCTTTGCACTGCCCGGCCTCCTCCACCTGGTACGATCGCGCCTGGTGGAGAAGCATGTGCCTCGTAATGCAGGGCTCTGTACAATTACAAAGACTATCCCACTAATGATGGTCCTTAATATGAAGCATGGTGCATTTATATGGTGATGTATAGTGTACCCCCCAAAACCCTATTCTAATTGCTGCGGGGCCTAGAGTAAAGCTTTTTCCAATTCGGGGAGCCATTCACATGTATGTGATGTCATCTGGATGTGCATCCGCTTGCTGTCTTCGCTGGCGTACGCAATACAACAGTCATTGCAATAATAGTGATGGAAAGACGAATAGAAACCATCATCATCGTCATCACA